ACAATGATTGATTCATGATTACAGTAATGTATTTACACATAATAGATATCCGACTAACATGTATAAGCGAACAATATTGTTTTCAACTAGATCATCATCAATCTTTACTCTCTAATATACATGAATATTTATATTGAAAATATTAAACTAATCGATGTGTTAAATAAATTTTTAGAGACAATATACCGTTAAAAATCTACCTTCTGAGATTCAGACAATGTTCATGGATTATGTTGAAACGGTTTCAAAGAGTAAATCTCTGAGAAGGCAATGACAAAATTAGTGAAAACTTTGTAAAATCAAAAACCAGTAGAAGAATTTCTTTTCAACTCAAAACGGTACGTACATAACTTTTCCAATATTGAACTAGATGTAGTGCAGTTAGAAGCTTTATCTCTTGAGCCTAAATTCTGTGATAATGGGTATAAAACCAGCCAATTAGATACCGATGTACAATTTGAGAATCTGTTCTCAAAAACAGCTGACTTGATGTTATGCTTGCCACTTGATTTGCTTGAAACTATTACGAGTTCACCTTAGTCGATAAACGAGGACAAGAAAAATGAACCAGGGACACGGTACGCTACTCTGTTCAGTTGCCCCAAAGGAACTGACGCAGTTGTATTCTATAAACATCCAGCAAACACAATGAATTCAAGCACACAAGTCGCGTTTATTTATACATCATAGAAATGTCCTTGGGAGAGTCACAAAAATAGCATACTAAAATAACACACTAGCCAATCACAGTCAACAGTTTTTCTGCCGGGAAATGTGATCTCAAGGTCAACTAACCAGCCCATGAATAAAATCCAAGATTAAGACATTTATCAAGCGAGTTCCGGGGATCCAACGTCCCTAACACTTGATCCCAACGTCATTGGAGGATCTAGCTAGATTTAAGACCATATTAACTGATAGCCACTAACAGTACAAGAATAGTAGTAGAACAGCAACGCAACTCTAACAAATCTCAGAAAATATGAAATCTTGGTCATAAGCAAGCTAGACAAGGAATGAGTTGTAGTTTTGATTAATAAAACGGAATACACCGATAAAATGGACACAATGCTTAGATATTTTAGCACAATTCAAAAAGTTACTGATATTAAAGAAATCAGTCAAAAAGTAGAAAAACAACTGGCTAATTCTCTAGAGCAACCTAAACGAAAGGTGATAATTTAGACAGAGCACTTCATGATTTGCGTAAAGCAACTCGATCAAATACATCAAAACTGTGGGGTCTACTCAAAATTCAAAAGTTGGATCTCCCTCTTCTTCCAGTTTTAGATATGTACAATTCTCCACCTATCACAAAATTTCAAAGTGTCTAATGTGAATCTTACAGCCTCTGTACAAAGAACATGGTTTCACTAGATGTTGTATTTTTATTTACCAGTGTACAACTAGTCAAGATGATTGAGTTTATATGTAAGTAAATATAGGAAAACCAAACCTGAGGATATTCTGAAAGAATTTCCCTTAAGGTGTTCGCTGAACATTTATTTTGTCTTCACCAATACTTATTACAGACAAATAGACGGAATAACTATGGGCTCACAAACAGGCCCAATTCTAGCTGATTTCTTTCTAGAAAAGTTAAAAAATAAACCTCTAAAGAGGCTATCAAGAAACTAGATCTGTACTCTTGCTACTTCGATGATACATTCAGTAACGTAGATCAGAATATCAGTAAAGACGAACTGCTAGAACATTTCAACAGTGTAAATCTGGCAATCGCTTTCATAGGTGACAATGAGTGTGACAAAAAACTGAATTTCCTTGATATCTCACTGAGTAGATGAAGTGATGACTCGTTAAGTAGGAGCGTGTATAAAGTTCTTCTGCTTACCAATATATTCACTTTTATAGTTTTACACCTATCCACTACAAAAGAAATTTGGTTAGATATCTCACAAGCAGACCAAAAGTGATCTGTTCAGTGGACACTTTGAGTCTAGAGCTGAAGTCTATCAACAACTTACTGAGATCGTCTACCACAATGCGTCTTTATAGAAGTGCATGTATACAGTGAAAAAGAGGTCGGAGACTTCTTGTCCATTAGAAAGAAGCTATTGTTCCTTAAACTACAATTCAACTGGGATGTAGCTAGCGATGCCCTGAATGATATAATAACGAAGGTAATTAGTAAAGTATTCTACGCTGTCATTCTTGCGTTGACTTTCTCAAGTTGGCCAGTGTTATTTACCCAAACGAAGACCTCCTCAATGTACATTTACAAATTCGGCTGCTCATATGAATATAGCTATATTGGGTGCACTAACAGACAACTTAATCAACGAAGGAATGAACATCTCCCAGAATGGTTTGCAAAGGGTCAGATAAAAACAATACACAGCTCTATTCTGGCACACCTAGATGAAATCAGTAATAATATAAATAAATCTGAATCATTTATTCAGCATAGATTTCAGATTGTTGTTTTTCAGTGAAATCATGAATCGATCATTGTTAGATCATCATTAGAAACTCGAAGAACTGGACGACAATGACAAGTGGGGTTCAACTCTGTCAAGTATAGGCAGGTACCTACTGAATACAATGGATGAAGTTGTAAAACACTTTAGATTGATTAAAGTTAGACACTAACAGCATTGGATGCCGGCTCAATGCTGATTTGGCTGTTAACCATTCACATGCGAGACCGAATTTCCTGGGTTCGATTCCTAAGAGTGAGGGGTTATGGATGCACACTACTGATTTCGTCCCATACTACGACTTGATAGCTGTTCAGTGCTTCTAGGTTTCTAATGGTGATAGTCTAACAATCGCTGATTCATTAATTCAATTTAATTTTTTCATTAGGATTATTAGGATTATTTTCACGTCCTGTATTTGTTGATTATTTTTTTTTCGCCTCTTTTCGTCTAAATTCTTTATCATCGAATTATTTTACACTCTTCTTATTACATAATTATAATTGAGTTTTGTGATTATCATTTTAGATCTATTTATCCTGAAACTTTCAAAGTTGAACTATTGACAAAATCTTGTCAAAGTATTTTATCATTCTTATCATTAATAGTACACCTGTCTGTCTACTACCAAAATGTACTTCTACCTAATATGTGTATTACGCAATCTATTTCGCTGTGATTAATGGCACATAAGTTGCCTGAACTAGTTTAACATTTTCACATAGATATTTATGTATATCGGAAGTCAGCCTGATAAAGATCTCATTAAAAACACAATTGTTCACTTATATATATATATATATATATATATATATATATATATATCTTACAACTTACTGTTGAACAAGATTTTTTTAATATCATATGGTCTACAGACAACCCAAGGGTACATTGTGATTGTACTAGAATTCTGTTTGAAACCTTCACAGAATAAATTCAGTAAAATGTAACCAATTTGTATAACAGAATAAGCACCAATTTGTAGAAAGCTCAAAAATAGTGTCACACACGACAAAGGTGACTATTTTGCTAAATCATATGATTGATTCCTCTCCTCAGTCATAAAAGACAATTTACATTACTACTGGTTGACATTAGTTGAGAAATCATTGAGAATTGAGAACGCATTGGAAAGCGGTTTGTCGCCAATCTCGGTCTCCTTAACGATACTTCACATCCACGACCGTACTACAGATTAAACTCAACAACTTCGGTTCTTCCAACAAGCGCTTAATATTTAAACTGATTAGTTGGCATCCAGTGGTTTACATGTGCACAACCATCTCGTAATGCCACTGGTGTTTGACTGTCTCAAACTCGATATGCCTGAACTGCATTGATCGAGATTTTTCAATAGAACTCACTGAATCAATTGTGATTTCCAATTTTAGTTTCCTGAAACGTGTGAACAATATAATGCCTAATATCATTTGTTTTTTTAAAATAACTCGATAGAAATTTGATAGGAAGCGTCACAGAACCAATCAATTTATATGTGTATGTTTTACCATTAACTTAGTATAATGATATTATAAGTGAAATTTTTAATTTAAATACAGCACACTATTTTTGTTTTTGGCCTCAATTTATGGAATAAGTAATTCTATTAGTTGATTGGCTAATTTCATGTTGAGATTCAAACACAATGTTTAATTTTTTTTACTAGACTTATAATAATGATGCTTGTTTTTGTCAATTTTGGTAAACAGCATTTTTATGCCTAAAGCTAGACCAATAAGAACTGAGCTAATTGATATTTTTAATTTGAGCGAAACCAGTCAACCAATCAGAAATAGATGAAGTGGTAGACTTTAGAGTATAGTTTCAGTCTTTTCAGGGTTTCTTTTATAAATTAAACACTGGGGGGAGTACATGATGTTAATCAATAATCTCTCCAACCACATCCTATTTTTATAAAAAAAAATTAGATATCTTAATGTTTTTATAAGCATTTCTGTGTATGATTATATTCCATTTTCATCTAACCATTATATTCAACCAATGTAACCAATGATAAGTGATCAAAGAAAAAAAGGAATCAACAGCCATTAAATACAACACAGAAATATGAATTGAATTCAGAAAAAAAATTTACTAATATCATGTCAGCTTATTTTTGTTTGTAAAATAAACAAACATATAACTAACTATCAATGAAGCGTATATACTGAACAATTTCTAATTAATGTTTTTGGATTCTGTTAGGTCATTTTCATTACTTGTTAATAAAATGATATAAAAAGTATTCATATTCATAAAAATACTTAAGATTGCTTAAACATGTAAGTGTATATTAATCAATATTAGATTAAATTATGATAGAAATAGGAACAATTTTTTAAACAAATAAATCAATGATCCATTGAATGAATATTCAATGTTTAATGTGCCAGAGAAAAATGTTTGAGAGCCTTTCATGTTAATGTGAATTTATATTTACAGGATTGTTTGTATATAACATTGGAAGGCGTGTGTGTGTGTGTATGTGAATGTTGATGATCAAAACAAAATAGTAGTAATAGTTTAAATTGAATAATCAATTCATTTTTATCATTATATTTTTTACGTTCTTCTACACTCCTCATATTCATCTTCATTTATCAATGTTCGATCCTAAGAGAACAGGAGGAGAAATAAAACAGAATAGGAATAGAATAGAGTAAAATAATAAAATCAAATGAAAATGTACATTCATGGAATTAATTTTTTTTAAAAGACAAAAAAAAATATTCAAATAGTTTTATTCATTCAATTGTATATTATTGATAAAGAAGACATTGAATTAGTACATATCTCTCTCCCACTTTGAATAGTGTTCTAGTTTTTGTTGATGATGTTCAAAAATACTTTAAACTAACTGACTAAATTGTATAAAACTAACAAATTCAATAATTATTATCTTTTAACTAGGGAAATAAAAAAGAAAAAAGATTTAACCTGAAATTCTACAGAATAAAAAAACTAACACAATGAATTACGAGTTTTTCATTAATGACCAGAGAATTTTTGATTATTATTGAAATGAGAAATGCATAAAATATTGATCGAAAAATAAGATGAAATGATACAATGATATAATCGATTAATTACTGTTTATGAAATAGAATCATGAACGCAAATCTTCAACTGATAATATTTTTTGGAAACCATAAACGAAACATTGTCAGACCACCACTGGGAACCTAGACTCACTGGATGACCATTTAGTCCCAGTATAGGATGAAATCAACAATGTTCATCCATAACTCCTACTAATTACAGGACCTTAGGTCTTGAGCGTGAATTCCCAACCTCCGGACCACTTCGTCAGCTTGAAACAGTGTTAATGTCTAATTCTGATTAATTTAAGGATTTTGAGCTACCTCACTCATTGTCTTCGATAGTCACTCTCTTCTCCCCGACAAAATTAAACCCCACTGGTTATGTCTTCTCGGTAGAACTCCGAGAACTTCACGAAGTTAGTCATCACTAGTGAGCTTATTTTTTTTTGATTTTACAATAGAGTAAGTAATATGGAGATCGTTGTTTTACAATGAAATCATGAAATTGATAAAAGGTCAATTCAGTAAAAAGTTCAAATAAACTTAAGGTGATCTATGTAAATAAAGGAGAGAGACATAGAAAGAATAAGAAAGGATAGGAAAACTGTCACATTACCCTAGGCTTAAAGATTACCAGGGGGTAAATTCAAGGTTATAACAAATTGTTTTGTGTACACATAAGGGGGGAGGTTAATTTACAAATAACCAAGGCCTCCGTAAACCTCAAAAATTCGTCCCTCAACATTTCTGCACAATGTTTTGTGGGCTGTCTTGATGTCCATCTTACACCCTATCTCAATTATATGTTTTACGATCGATGAACATGTTTTTATATTTCGCCCATGCTGATCAGTTCATCTGACGTAAACTGATTTTGAAGCCACTTAGATACATGTTCCATAAACTTGAATTGATCTTTTATTTATCTTCATATAAAATGCTTTGACAAGTGTGACTGTGTGACTAGATTGTTTGAAGTATATCTAATGCAAATACACATCACATTATTCAGATCAATTATGTCTTCTCATTCATCATCATGAAAAGAATAATAATAATATTAATCATATCCTATCTGTTATACCTTAACCCAATATTGATTAATCGATTTACTGTATTCAATTAGATTATGATTAATCAGTGAATGATTACATTTATTCATGTCTTAACACAACAACCTATTGACCAATAGACATTGAATGAAATGTATGCTGAATAATGTCGATTCATTGCAACCATCAGCACCACCACCACCACAACACTAATTATCCAATTTTAAAAATGAAACAAACTGATTAAAGGTTAAAAAAAGAAATTATTTCATTGGAAAATAGTAGAGATAGATACAACAACAACTACTAGACTTTAAATAATGATTTATAATTTGAAAATACAAAAACAAAAAAAATAAATAAATTCATTCATTAATGATGATAGATTTCATGACAAATATTAGACATTACTTATTTTTATTTTTAAAAATTGAACTGTGAAATTTTCAATTTTGTTGTTGTTGTTGTTGTTGTTGGTGTTTTACAAAAATTACAACATGTTTAGATCATTTGCAATGGTAGTGATTAATGAAATATGAAACTGTAGTAATATTAACTAACCGGGTTTTCTATGTTACATGTTTGTTGATACAGTATTATCATGTATAAAAAATGAAAATTAAAATTTACTTATAAATGAGTAACTACTATTGACTGATCAATAATGATCCATGTTTTTTTTTCCAGCTCATATATAGACACAGATCTATCTATGTCTATTGATTAACGTATAATCTAAATAATTCGATATATTGGGAATTGTTGTTCAATGATATATGTATAATGTTTGAAGGTAGTCAAGTGGCAATGTTATTTGACTCAAGTTGGCATTCGTCAGTTATACAATAACTTATAATCTTCAAGGAATAGATACTCTTTCTACTTTGGGATTTGGACTTTGATCATTGAAGTAATTTTATAGTCGTCTCTGAGATATTATCAATGAGTTAGTTAATATGAGATTGATTAGTTTTATTCATTGAAAAATAATCATTGTACACTTTTAAAATTTCATTGGTTTTTCCTTATGTTGAACATGATTCAAATTAAGCCATTCTATATATATATATGAATTAACATAGTGAGATGATAATTATGAAAAGGCATATTACAATAGAATAATATTAGAATGAATAAACATTATTTATAAATATCCTTGTTAAAATAGATTAAACATAAATACACATAAATAGGATTTATGAAGAAAGAATAAATTTGATGAATTAGAAAATACAACAATACTGTGTTAAATTCAAGATTAAAGATAAGATACACAGTGAATGCATGTACAATGACTTTATGACCGATATAACCTTTAGTCATGGCTAGTTAACATCTCCAATTACTAACTGACTATAATGATGGTAACAATGGTATCAATCAAAAACTAATAGTCAATAAGGATAAATGAATGAGTCGATGATTTAGTAAACTGAATTCTCTTATTACAATGAGTATTTGAATATGTGAAATGTAACAGTTTAAAGATGCAATATGCATATTGGAATATTTGGATATGCAGTCTCTGGAATGGTAAGTCAAGTTTACTAATGAAATATATAAAGAAATATTTTGTTCACTATGCATAATATTTTCTAGCACTTTTCTTTTTCTTTTTTCTTTTTGTTCATCTGAACTTATTTTTGAAATAACAACCATTGTAATATTTATATATATAGTTAAGTAAATTTATTGGAATTTCATTTATTGTTAAAATTCTTTATGGATTAACACATTGTAGGCTTATACTTGTTTTTTATTTTTATTTTCAGTAACTTCAACAAATCGATCGAGTTATTCAGTAAATGTAATAAAACACTGTAAATAAGTGTATGCATGTATGTGTTTGTGTGAACATGTGAGAGAGAATTTGGTGTGTACAATTTCCAATCCTCCTCCTCCTCCTCCTCCTCCACCTTTCAGGAACAGTCAATTTTCACTGTCCATTTAACGGGATAAATCAATAAACCGAATCATTTTATTTTTATTTTCATTTTTCTTTTTCTTTTTTTTTTTGAAGATAAAAGATTTTAAAGAAAAACATAAAGTTTCAAATAAGAAATAAATATTTATACATATATATATATATATATATATAGATATAGATATATAGATACATAGTTTGTTTTTTAAATTGAAAAACATTCAATTATAATTGAATAAATAAATGCGAAAAAAATATTTTTTTTCTATTTGTTATCGATCGTACAGTGAAATTTTACCATGACAACATTCAGATAAATTTGTAATTGAAAAAGAAAGAAAAAGATGAGATGTTTATGCAAACAGAAAAAAAAATATATATTTAATAAATATTTTATTTTGAAATGGGAAATTAAATTTTTTTTTAAAAAAAATTAACAACTACTAGTTAACTTGATATGAATTTATTTCTAACTATATGACTGAAAAACAATTTTCTCTGTTTTTTTATTTTTAAGAAAAAAATGAAAAAATAAAAGAGGAATTTGGCAAAAAGTTTTGAATTAACAGTTCTATACATGCAAATTATCTATTGTATACATGTGGATATGTAATGTTGTAGATAGTTCTATATGATGCTGATGATGATGATGATGATAATTTGAAAAATATGTGATATTGTTGATTTTTAATTTACTTAAATATTCACTTGTAAATTGGTCTATCAATTGTCAATGTTGCATTTATATATATATATTCTTAAAGTATGAAATATACTATCTGTTCTATTAATTTAGATAATTTAAAAATATTATCAATGAATAAGATCAAAATTAGACAATAGTTTAATTCAATCTATCTACAGTTAAACATGATAAATTGTTCTTCTCTTGAAATATTGAATAAATCTCTATAATGATGAAATTTGACATTGTCCAGAGTAAGACTTTTTTAGAAAACTGAAACGTCACAGATTTGAATGTTTTAACTTTTATCCATAGTGTGATCATGGGTTCACATTGATCAGATTTCTTAAACCATTTGTCTATTCCTTATTGACAGAAAATGCTTCTTCCAGTGTTGTCATTTGTTAGTAAAAAATATCTTAACTCTTTTTATTTTATTCGTTTACTTAAAGGATTGATGTTGGTTAAAAATTTTAGTAAAAATAAGGAAGTTGTGGACAGCTGTTTCACTCTAGTATAAGAAAGACTCTTTGGCAGTGATCACTCATTACCGCAGCAATGACTGAATACAGCACATTCAAGTTTAACTGTAAGCGTTTAACCTTTAGAGCATTGAGTTCGCCGCATCCAACAGTTTACTTGGTTAACTTTACTTTCTAATATTGGTGAACCAACACCTGCTTTACACACAACACGGCTGAACTCCACTACTCAGGATTTTTCACTAAAATCCCAGTAATTCTCTGTTGAAATAAGTTACTATTAAATAATAAATGATTCCCGAGGTTAGTATGCAGTATAAGACATATACACTAGCATACTTATTGGCGGTTATTGATCCCATATGAGAGTGATTGAGATTTCTTAGCTTAAGATCAGAAACATATCATGAATATACCTGGGACTTAACTGACACTACATTTTTGATAGATAGCATCGGCCGGAAGCTCAGTGTTAACGACTTAGAGTCTGGAACTGCCTAATCCATGTTTGAGTCTCAAAAAAGGAGTATCGATTACTTTAATACCGTTGAAGTCAATTTGACGAGTGTTAATTAGTAGGCAATCTAGAATGACGGTTTCTTGTCGACTAACTTCACACAACCATCATACTATTCAACATAGTACACCATATGCTGAATGACTTGGACTAGTGATCATTTTGCAACCTGATCGATAAAGTTCAATCAGTCTTGATAACTGGAACAAAAGTGATATTAGTCCCTTTCTATTTAATAATCAATCAATGACATTAACAACATTAATATCTATACGGTGGTATACAATGGTGAGCTTACTACAATAAAAAAAATAATGAATACATTTAAACAAAGTTGTAATCAATTCACATAAAAATTAATTTTCATGTGAAGTGATCGATTGAAGTTATTCTTAACATATAATACATGTTTTACTAAATATGTCATAATCAACGCTTCTAATTATTTTATATTCATGTTCATTTAATGAATGAATGTTGCATAATAAAGAGAGAGAGAGAGAGAGAGAGTAATTTTTGCAAAAAGATTTTATTTCAAGCATGCAGAGCTATTTATAGCTAGCTATCTAATATAAACATATCCAATTAAGAATTGTCTGATATGTTAGATAGATGGAAAACGCAAACATAAAATGTTGAAATGTAATCTTTAATCAAAATTTCCACTCTAGTTTGTGGGAAACACACCTAGTAAAACAATGAGAAATTGACATGGTTTTTTTTCCTTTCTTGAGTATAACATTGAAAACATAAAAAACATTAAAACCTTAGTCTAATTTATTATTATTATTATTATTATAGATTTTTTACCTTGAAAAATTTTATTTTTCTTTTTAATGCCTACTAATCTTAACATTGAATCAAAGTCATTTACATTTACATTTACATTTTTATAATTAATAAGTTGTTGTTGTTGTATTAAATATGGGTTTAACTTATCTAGAAGTGTACATAAATAGACACTGTAAATATTCAACAAATAATTCAGTGAATTACTTTTTTTTTGTTTAAGTTGATAAAAGTTAAATAAACTTTTATTATTATTATTCAAATCATTGAGAAGCTTTTTTTTTGATAAGTTTTTCTTCTTCTTATTATTATAAAACTACAAATCAATACAGGATTGTTCTGAAGTAACAATTTGAACTGATAAGAAGAAACAAAGCATCACATATCTTTATTATTGTGATTATCTAACAGGATTATATTATTTCACTGTTATCATATAGTCATTAAATGTTAGACAAATATCTATAAGAAATTTCAGATGATGAAATGTCATTATAGTTTATGGTATTTATTAAATTCTGTTTATCGATTTGAAAAGAAAATGAACAGAGTATTATTCAATTTAGACGTCTTTATTTAACTGTTAATGTCAAATTAATTCATTTTTTTATTTCACAATAAAAGAGTGAAATAAATATCATATCATATCGTATGCAGTTATCGGTATAGAGTTGTGAACAATGTTGAGTTTCTATTCAAATCATAAATCAAGAGGTTAGGTGTTCGTACACAAGACTAAAGGTTCTGGTTTCGATTGTGATGTTGTATTCTGGGGGGGGGTCATGAATTCGACTACTGATGAATACTATACAAGGATTAGGTGGATATCCCATATTTGCATATTTCGAATGGTGTGTCTAATATTGATCAGTTTATAAATTCAACGAAAATCACTATGAATACTTTCTAACTGAATTCAACAACTACTACTTTAAGTAGTATACACATTAAACATGACATTGATTGAATATGCTGAATATAATAATAATAATATTAGAATATACATACAATCTTACCTCTATTTTTCTAGTCATCATTTCTTGATATTCATCAATAGTATCATCAGGCATTTCATAAATAAAAATATTAGCATGAAGAAAAGTGAATAGTGTAACACAAAGAATCCACAGACCAGAGCTTAAACATCCAACTCCAATTGATAATATATCTCTTGAATTAAATAGAAAAACAAAATAATTGAATAACATTTTATTTAGTTGACAAAATAAAAGTTTTTTTTTTCGATAATCAAATTGTGCAATTTAATTAATTTCAAAAATTTCCACATTCTACAATGTGTATGAAATACTTTCAACTGTAACATAATTACCCATGAGTTTCAAACAATGTTTGTAACAGCAGCAGTATGAATGATGATGACAATCAGATATTTTGATCTTTCAATTCAAATTCATATAAACACACTTCTATAAATATTTGACTAAACTGGTTTTGCTAGATAGACCGATTAAGAAATAACTAGCAATCTGTAATTAATTTGAACTGAACAAACTGTACACACAAATCATAAGCATATACATCCATTTTTGTCTTTCTGATCTAGACAACAACATTGAAGTTTCCGATACAACAATTTGATTTGTTTATCACTTACCTATTGTGTTGATTTTTCAAATGAAATGAATCAGTCAATGGATCAGGTTACATACACATTCAATTATTAAATAAGTAAAGTTAAATTTAGACAGATTAGTTTTAATTGATGAATACATATATGTATTATTCTACTGGATAATAAAAATGAACAGGAAACGTTTGGCATACAGATGAATCTTATTAACTATGAAAAAAAAATTACCTATCTTTAAAAAATTTGATTAATTTTATTGATTAAATAAATTTATTGTATATTTAAAGGAAGAAAAAAAAACGGAAAAGCAATTTGAAAATATTTTTAAATTCATTTTGTTATCATCAAAGTATATAATAATAATAATAATAATAATAATAATTATTATTATTATTATTATTATTATTATTATTATTGAAACAATATTATTGGAATTCCATTGAATTTAAACAGCAATTGTAATAATAATTTGTATCAGTTAAACATTTTCTTTGGAAAAAAAAATGTCTTTTTTTTATTAACAATCAAAGTAATACTATAATACTGACTAATATTAAGCGTCTTTTGAAATTCCAATGCTTGTTATCTTATTCAAAGGTAAGTAGAATTGGCATATAATAAACTGTTATGACATTTTGAATGGAAAGAATAAGTGGAAAGAATAAGAAATATGAAGCATACTACTACTACTACTACTGCTACTACTACTACTACTCACACTACTACTACTACTACTACTACTACTCACACTACTACCACTACTACTACTACTACTCACACTACTACTACTACTACTACTACTACTACTACTACTACTCACACTACTACTACTACTACTACTACTACTACTCACACTACTACTACTACTACTACTACTACTACTACTCACACTACTACTACTACTACTGCTACTACTACTACTACTACTCACACTACTACTACTACTACTACTACTACTCACACTACTACTACTACTACTACTACTACTACTACTACTACTACTACTACTACTACTCACACTACTACTACTACTACTGCTACTACTACTACTACTACTCACACTACTACTACTACTACTACTACTACTACTCACACTACTACTACTACTACTACTACTACTAATAATAATAATAATATGAATTTGTTCAAAACAACTTGAAGATTGCTTGTTATAATCCAATAGATTCATTGAAACAGTTGAAAACAGATTGACCAAATTCAATCACTGATATTTATACAGAAAAAATTACAATGTTTTTGCTTAAAATATATTTTCAATAAAACACAGAGTGTAAAATTAATCATCATCAATAGATCTTAAAGACGATTATTCATTTTTTTTTTAAAAAACTACAGTTGAAAAGTAATACAATCATTGAAATACGAGTTAAAAGCAATATTGGACAAAGTGAATTTTCAATGGTGGACGTTTAGGTCAAAAATATTATTGGTTGATTTTACTCTTACTGTGGTTGAAATCAACAATGGCACCGTAGGTCATGAGTACGATTCCCATTTTCGGGGTCATGGATGCGCATTGCTGAGGAGTAGTCCCATACTAAGATCAAATGGCCGTCCGGTAATGTCAAGTTTTCAATGGTGATTAACACTGATTTGCTTATAATTTCAGTGTAACTTGATTATTTCTACATCACTCAAGTGATTATCTCAATTTTGTGTTGAATAACCATCGAATTATATATCAAATTCAAGTTAAAAATTTAACATTGATAGATGATTGCTATTTTAAATTATCTGTTTATTGTTTGTCTTGAAAAAAAAGAAGTAAATTTAGACAATTATTTATCCTTTTCTCTATTTGACATATTTTACATGGATTTTGTTTGTTTTTTTTTTTGTGATAAAAAAGCTTTTCTCCTTTCTCTAAAACCAGGTTGCTGTCAAATAATCAATATGAGTAAATAATGCCTGACATCTTCTACAAACATTAATTTCATCGGTGAAAATTGTAAATGTGCCCTATTCTCTGAATGTATTGTTTGTTTTATTGTCATAGGGTTGGTTGTATTGGTTGTCACACTAAGGCATGTTATATGTAACTAGGTTTTTGTTTATCACCATGATTATTATTCAAAACTGGCGGTAAAAATACCAATAAAAATTAAAAAACTATAAATTATATGACATAAAATAACTGGCAAATATTTCATATTGATAAATTAGTTAGTAGTTGGAATGATACAATATATATACTATACAAGTCTACTGTATAGAAAGGTAGATAGTGAAAATGAAAATGAGACAGAAACATACTGTAGATAATATGAGTATATGTATGTGTGTGTATAGGATAGAGTGAGTGTATGAAGTGTATGTATGTAAGTCAGAGAAACTGAGATAATTCATTTATTTATTTAAAGAATATTTATATATTTATATGAAATTATTGTAATTATTTTTAGTTTAGTTTCAATCACTTTTTATGTGGATACAATGCCTTCTACACACACACATATATATATATATATTTATGTATATAAGTCGTAAAGACACAAATTGTTTTATTTTTTTTTTCCATAAGAGGATGATTTGTATCTGAAGTAGAGATTAAAAAAAGGAAGAATATGCAAACCAAATATAAATTGAATACTATGTTACATTGATCATCATTTGTTTTGATTATGATCATGATTTAATTAATGGAAAATGGAATGGTTTTCTTTTCTGTTTTGTTCTATTTTATTTTGTTTTTCTCTGTAACTTTATTGGTCAAAAGTGAAATATTTGACTGATTGATAATTTATATAAACAATATCATCCTATTGAAGAATTATGTGTTCATTTGAACACAATAATTGCTTTGTATATTGTATAGTTAAAGTGACCAATATATATATATATATATATATATATATATATATATATATATATATATATATATATATATGTTGATTACACAGCAGAATGCAATCAGTGTATACTGGTACAGTTTCATCTCATACTATCTATCAATTTTCCATTGACTATTCAAATGAACAAAACGGAACATTTAAATCTCTTATATTAATTAACCAATAATGATAACATAGGAAAAATTATGTCTAGAATCAGTAGCTAAATAATTTGATAAAAATTCAACATGTTACAAGACTTTCCATATAGACTGTTAGTTTTTCATGGTTCAGAAGAGTATTTTCAAACTTCATTGGATGCCTTAGATAATTCTAGCAAGCTGAATGCTTACTATACTAACGCTTTAGTTGATTTCAAAATCTCTACAATCTTAACTATATGAATACTAAACGAATTAATAAAGAAGAAATATAACAGAAGATTTATTTTCAAAGTTAGTTCATGTAAAAAAGAAAATATATATTTCTAAGCTTACCACAGTATCTAATGGACTTTAGAAGATTCTAGGAAGGATTACTAACCCTGTTAATATTGATAACCTTTGAGCGAATAGAACTAGAAAAATTATACTGAATCTGTTTTTAATTAATTTTGAGTATTTTTCTATTGCTATTGATCGTCTAACAGTGATTTAGATCATTTTCACAACTTCTGACTAATAATTCAAGGCATTGTTTAAAAATCAAATGCAAAAGATCATCAATACATTTTTTTTTATAGACGATTTCATAATAATGTTAACTTTTCTGTATAGACACCATGAATATATCATTGTACTGATCTATCATTTAATAGACTCAAACATATGGTTTTCAGTTTATTATCTCATATTTTGGTATCGGCTATGTAGATATGATGAATAAATCCATTCTTAATTGAATGCTTTTTGTTTGCAAGTGAAATTTCTATGATTTCAGGATGCAAAAGCCTGAATGACTACATTTCACCAGAGAATGGTTGATTTTAAACAAAATCTTTATACTTAGTGATCATTAGGAGCCATACCAAATTACCTGTTTCTTCTGATAATTAAGGATTAATGTTATTCACTTAGGTTGTGAAGTGGTTACTAGAAAACAACAAGTGCAAGAGAAGATGACCAGTGTAGCATCAGCAGCCTCCGCATCAGTTGGTCTCAACATACATAAGGGAAAAGGTAAGACTCATAGGTACAATACATCATGCATCAATCAAATAACACTTGACGGAGAACATTTGGAAGATGTGAGAACTTTTACATCCCTGAACCAGTCTAATTGATAAACAAGATGAATCTGATAATGATGTGAAGAAACGGATTAACGAAGCAAAGGCTGTATTTCTACAATTAAACAACATCTGGAAGTCCAAACAACTATCAACCAAAAACCAAAATCAGAATTTCAAAACATATATCGAGACTGTTTTGTTGTATGGAGTAGGAACTTGAAAGAGCACGAAAGCTGTCATCCACATGATTCAGGTGTCTATCAATAGTTGTCTACACAAGCTATTGAGGATCCATTGGCCAGACACCATCAGCAACAACCTACTGTGGAAGGGAACAAACTAGATTTCCGATGAGGAAGAAATCAGAGAAAAGCGCAGGAAGTGGATAAGACACACATCGCGGAAAGCACTGAACTACATCAGAAGACAAGCCCTAGCAAGGAATCCTCAAGACCAAAGTACACATTACGCCGAGAATTGGGAGCAAACATAAAAA